AGGGGATGTATTTCATTCATAAAGCCTGTTTCAGTGGAGTTTACAGGGTTTTCTACGGTCTTTTGATAAGAACTCCTAGAATTCTTCGGAACTCCCGGTTTATAAACCAACTACAGCAGCGGCCTACAGGTTGGACATGATTCTGCTGTGAGCATGCCGCGATTACAACGGGGCCATGGTTGCGCATGGGATGGTGTGGCTGCGTGTCCGGCGAAGATGCAGGTCATAACATATAGGGGCTTAATAATTAGAATAGGGAATAGGGTTTTGGGTCCCTTTATAGTATAAATATAGTCAGGAACCCCCAAAACAGTATAGGTAATTGTTAAGGCCCCGACAGTAGTCTTCCGCGCAGGATGTGGGACTTGAAGGGTTTTCCAGTGTTTCTTTCGTTGAGCTGACAATGGCTGCAAGCTCGACTCTGCCTTTCATCGGAAGCCAGTCGGTTTAGGGCTTACGGTTTGGAGTTCAAACTTTAGGATAAACCCTAAACCCTAAACCCCTTTTGCAACAGGCTTTCCACTTCGCCCGGAGTTGGAGCAAGCACACCCCTACCCTAAACCCTGGTGTAAAGGTCTCGCAGCAAAGCTGAGGCTGCGGCATCTTTTGGCCTGCATCAACCTGGCACGCCGCCTGCATCGCGTGTATGGGGGGACGTTGTTTTGGTGCATAGTCTTTGGTGAAATGAGGTTCTGTGGCTAAAGTTGTCAATACCTGCCCTAACCCTAAACCCTAAACCCTGGTACTATAAGGGGATCGACTTCCGGAATCCCTGTGTGGGGTCCTGTGCTCTGCCTTTTCAGGATTCTTCCGAAGCTCTCGGGCGACGATCTTATACATTTCCTTTGTAGGTATAGTTTTGTAATAGTCAGGCTCTCTATGAACTACAGTTGTAGTGGTTCAGGGTTTGGGGTTTAGGGAAGGAGTGTATGAACAGCGGTCTGACAGGGGGGGTTAGGGTTTTGGTCATACGTGAAGCCACTGGCCACCCAGGTTGCTGATCTCCATCCCTAAATCCTAAACCCTAACTGAAATCATAAACCCAGATGTCAAAGCCCTCACTCCTGAACTCCAGTTGCCAAAGCAATGAATACAAATCCTGGTCCTTCAGCCGTTGGATTCCCCAAAGGTTCACGTCTAGGGTTTCGGGTCTAGGCGTGGGTCAAGCTCTGCTGATGCCGCCTTAGCCCGAAATTGAGTCCAACTGAAGGAGGCTCATAGACGAATCCCGGCATGAAGCCCGACACTGCACGATAGCTTATGCTGTTCTAAGAACGCAGGATGTGGGATGCAGTTCTTTCTCCTCCATGGGTTCCGAGTGCTTAAAACCTAAACTTCCCTAAATAAAAACATCCTATAACTAAAAAGGAGCTAGAGCTCCCTGATCAAACCCTAGACTTTGACGTAACCAGAGAGAACAAAAGCATAGACTTTAATTTCATAATGGTTCCTTTACCCTAAACATCAAAATAGCCCAAAAGCCTCATATAATAGGGTCCTTGGGCCCAAAAGCCTTAAACCATGAGTCCTTTGAGGGTAAGGGTTAAGGAACAGGTCCCCAACAAACCGGAACATCTCAGCTGCAGCCCTCCTTGGAACCCGGCCTGGCGAGCATCACGCGCACCGCGGCCTCTAAATTAGGGGGGTTGGGGGGTGGTTTAGGGTTTAGGGTTGGGGGGTTTTGGGGATTTCTGTGGGGTTTAAGGTTTAGGGGATTCTAGCGGGGTTTCGGGTTCATAGCGGGGTTCAAATGTGGATGATGTTCATCCCTGATCCAGAACATGACATTGCTTTCGACATGGGAACTTCGAAAAGGAGGACCCTGGACATAGTCGGATCTTGATCGAAGAGTCCTTAGCTTGGCTCCACGCTCCACGTTCCAAACCCTCCACCCCATGACCGCTTGGCCCTCTTCTACTTTTGAGCTCTACCTGTCGGGCTCGAGAGCCCTCTTCGAGCTTTTGCAAACACTCCGCAACTACTGCCTCGTTTCGGGTCGGTTCGGGGCTCGAGGGTGCTAGATTTGAGTTGGGATGATTAAAGCTGTGAGCTTCCTCACCAGCGCCCCAAGGGCATCTTACCCTGCGTCCGAAGCCCAGCAGCGACGATGGGAGAGCGTATTTTGCAATCCGTGCTAGGAGGCTGACGTGAACATGCTGTTCTGCAAGTACCCAGAGAGCCCAAAACCCCTTAATCAAGCAATATACCTTAAACCATAAGGGGCTTACTATTATGATTTAAGGTATATTCCTTAATTAAGGGATACTGGTCATTGGGCTCTCTGGGTAAAGCGGTGCCTTGCTCAGGGGCCCTCGGAATACGAATCTTACTGTTTAGAGCTCTAGACTGGGGTCCCTCGTTATCTTACAGCCATCAACGCCGTGCATGTCTGTCTGAGCCGGGCAACCTGAGGCAACCTCAAAACTCAAAGCCCCTTGACCCTGCAACATACATACTGTAGGGGCGTGAATACATAATTAGAATAGGGTTTTGGGGGCTCCTACTCTAATCACAGTAGAATATTCCCCCAAACCCTATTCTAATTCTTAAGGCCCCTATATTACATGATCCTTGAATGCATCTGTGCACTTTAACTTGCCCTCCAGGCCCAAACCACCTAAACCCTAAACCCTAAACCCCTAAACCCTAAACCATAATTAAACCCTAAACCACAAACCCTAAACCCTAAACCCCCAAACCTTGAACCGAGCCAACCCATGGCCTGCACGCGCAGCACCGCTGTTTGCGCCCTCTCCTGTGCCGCCTGAATGGGATGACAAGGGCGGTTTAGGGTTTCGGCGCTCACACTCGGACAATCCAGGCGAGGCATATGGTTCGAGGTCTTCAAAGCAGTGAAACAAACTCACACTTGGGTTCCACATAAGTAGAACCTGTAAGTTGAGATGTCCCGTATGCGATCAAAGCTCACTCAGTCGGGTTGGCTAATTTGTGAACTTCAATGACGATAGCTACGACGAGGAGGCTTAGCAGAGGAGTAGGGCATAAACATACCAAATCTTACCTTTGCAGTAGGAATGACAGAGCCGGGACAGCTCCAGGGCGGTTTAGGGTTTAGGGAAACGGCAACTACATCCACGAGCACACAAGACTAGCCAGCCAGCACTGGCATTTTCCCTCACAGGTACAGGAAATCAATATGGCAATCCCGCTGCGATGCCGAGGACGAGGGCATTGACAAAAAGAGCTTTCTGAGGCTTGTAATTCTGCGGGGAAGAGGAACATGGCTGGCTTAACATGGGCATCCGCGTTCAGGGGCCTGGGTTCCAGGATTCATGCTTCTAGCAACAAAATCACCTGTGGAACTACGATGCACCCCTGAATTCCTACATGGTTCTGGCAGAATCTAACGTGCAATGACCCCCTTTGTACTTGTCTGAAGTTCCTAGAGCTGCTTCCCGCCCTTGTTCGACCATGCGGGATAAACCATTTTGTGTTTTGCGGTGAAGGGAAGGCTGCGATGCTTTTTTGCTGAGGTATCTCGGTATCTCGTGGCGCTCAACTTACGGCCAGTACCCCATTCAACGAAGGGCACACGTTTCCCATGGCTTCATTTTGGTAATTAGTCCCCTCAACAAGGGAAGGGCACGGGGGTAACCAGTACGGCGGACCTACTTGAAATTTCTCCGGATGACTTTGCAAGACGGTTCAGTGAAATGACCCTAAACCATTTTTTTTGAACCCAGACTCTGTTGATCAGCTGGGAAGCAGCACTGCATGATTTCACACAGCCC